GTGAATAGCACCTGTTTCATAGAGGATATGGTGATGTGATAGAAGACACATGCCAACTCTTATGTGTCACCACTCACTGTTACTCAGATCTCCACTTTATGTTGCTTGTCTCTCAAGGCCTTATGGTTTTCCTGTTATCAGTATGACCTGCGGTGCCTAGCACTGTGCCTGCTCACAAGTTCCTTGAGGTGCTTGCTTTGAGTAGGATGGCTTACTGGACTAGAGAATGGAACCACAGAAGAACCCTGCACCCTTGTGTTGTTTCATGTTACACTGTTGCTATTGTCATCATGACAAACACAATTACAAGACAGTAGTTGGAGCTAAATATATCAGGAATACCATGAAGAATCCATGACTCTCCTGTTACAGGATTAGCTGAGATTAAATCAGAGTTACAGTTAAACTCTAGTTCTTTCTGGTTTACACTACATCCATTCATTGAAGCCTTTACTATGCTGTTTCTTGTATCAAGAACAAAGATAATAAAAGAGTACATAGAGCTGCACTCTGGGGGTCACAGTCCTCACTGGAGTTTGTCAAGCTTTTCAAAAATTTCCGTGCACACCCAAGTGGAGACTTGCTCAGACATAATTGTCACTGCCACATGAAATGGTTTTGAGAGCTTCTAGAAGTCGTAATAGATCCAGAGACTGCTGTGTTGCTGAGCTCTTAACATGAAAAGTCAGGAGTGACCCTGGCAGCTGGGTGACGCATGTGGGAACAGTGGGAGTGACCCTGGCTGGGAAACAGGAGGCCTGGATATTGTTTCTCTTCTCTGTATCCTGCTCGGCCGGCATCGCTGGGCTCTGAACTCTCAAGCTTGTACAATGGCCTTCCCAGGACGGGCACGCCCGTGCCCTATCCCAGAGAATGAAGAAATCTCCCAGACAGCCCTTAACAGTGTCCTCGAAGCTAATGGGAATGAAGACGAGAGGGCCGAGTCGAACCTGCAGCGCAGGCACAGTGACGTAAAAGTCTACAAGGAATTCTGTGATTTTTATGCGAAATTGTGAGTCTCCCCTCCTAGAATGCAGGCTTTCCAGTCGCCAGGCCTTCAGTTCCGCACTCCCTAGCCATTTGATCCAGCTAGTGTGTTTTAATTTAGCAGGGCTTTTCCAGGGTGTACAGAGGGCTCGGGGTGGTTCTCAGATTGCCTTGTCTTATAAACTTCCACCAGAAGACAAAATAGATGTCAAGGAAAGTGCCACCTCCTGGGAAGAACAGACAGCTCTCACCTCTCTAATAATGGTACATGTTCATTGTGTTATCCATAAGAGAAGCTATGTTGTCAGGATCTTTAACAGGGAAAAGTTCTCAAATATGAAACTAAAATTTTCATTGATAAACACTTTGTTGGGGATTTATCCCATAATCAGTATTTGAGGTGGTTAATAAACTCTCAAGATATTTGATAACAGAACTTTACATACTGTATTTTAAGAGTAGAAAATGTGTTCCGTGTGTGGTGATGGAGGGATGTAAAGACCTGCAAAGCGTGACTGTGGCTTCCTGTGCTGTAGCTTATGGAGGCAGCTGCAGAGCAGCCCTGCGTGGCTCTTGTAGGGACGCATTCTCTCCACTCCCAGATTTTCTTTGTCATCAACACTTTTTAGTGAAAAACATCGTCTGGAAAATTAAGAAATTAGATATAACCAATCTAATGACTTATCTTTTTTTAAAAAATAGCTTCTACGTACATTGTGTTAAATACTGTCAAGTATAAAAAAAATGTGAACAGGACAGGAGAGTCAGGCAAGAGAGGAGCTGCGTAAGTAATCCCAACACTTGGGAGGTATGGAAGATCAGGAATTTAAAACCAGCCTGGGCTGCATGAGACCCTGTCTCAAAGAAAGAAAAAACAGAACCAACTAGCCAGCAAACGAGGTGAGAGGGAAGGGAAACATGAGGTCAGTCTGGGAGGCAAGCCACTGCTGTTTTCTGTCCCTCCTTTGTTACTGAAAGGAGTTCATATATATGAATGTGTGTGTGAAGCGTTAACCTGTCTACCCATTTTGCCAAGTCTGCTTGAGTAGTCAGACATAAATAAAGTCTGGAATGTAGTTGTAGTGAGTGTAAACAGGTCAGTGCTAATAGCATTTTTATCAGCACCATCAAAAAAAAAAGATTGAAATCCAGTACTTCTTGTAGAAGAAGTCATATTTATTCAATTAATAGTAACACATCAGATTTTAATAATACAGAGGAAAATGCTGTTGCCTTAAATGTTTGCATATTTTTCTTGATACAACCCCTCCTTCCAATCTGCTTTTGCACTGGGCACAGCGATGTGACTGAGAGGGTACTTCAGAACTTCCAGAGAACCAGTCACCCCAGAACTTCAGAATCACGGAGTTAAGTGGTAGTAAAGCAAGACATTCCAGAATGTTCTCTAGCTTTTGGGGAAGTCCATTAAGATTACTGAGGTTCGGAGTATCATTGGAGAGAATGTAGAATTATAATGATGCTATGTCTTTTAGTAGCACCTTCTGCTTTCCAGAGTAGTCTATACTTTATTATTTTATCCTCACAACAGCTTCTGAGAATTCCTGAGCGGTTGTGGGCTTAGTGTCCTTCTCCACTCAGCCACTCTTTGTGTAAGAAAAGCCGGGCACAGATCCCTCCAGAGCTTTATTAAGACTGTTGCTCTTCATCTGGACCCTCTCTTCTCACAATAATTCTGAAAAGACAAAATGGAAGTCTTCTTCGTGCTTAGGCCAGGTTCACCCAGAAGTTAGGCTGCCTCTTTTCCCATTTTAAAAGTATTGGGGGGGGGCACACACTATGGAGATCAAAGATAACTTGCTGGAGTCAGTTGTTTTTCTGCCACATGAGTTCCAGGGATCAAACTGAAATTTTAGGCATGGCAGCAAGCACCGTTACCTGCTTTGCTATCTCTCTGGCCCCATCTTTTCTCTTTTCTTCAGTGACACTCCTGTCTTAGATTTGACTTAACTAATTAAAACAGAGTTTTGATTGCTCTGGAATGGTGAATGTAGAAGTTCAACAAAGAGTTACTATGGCAACGTTACAATGTGGAGTTGCCTTGAAACATTTGAGGAAGAGGACAAGTATCAGGCTATCCTCCATTGGGGTGGGGCAAAGAATAACTATTGCTATGGAAACACTAACCTTGGGAAGAGCTAGGAGCAAGGCAGCTGGTTAAAGTGTTTGTGAAGTGAGACGCTCTCCACACCATCTGTCTATTGGCAGTGGTGCTGGTAGACTGATGAGATATTTGAAAGGTCAGAAGCTATGCCAGGGAGCAGACTTACTATTGTAGAGGTAGAACTCTACTGTAGAATCAGCCTCTGAAAACAAAACAAGCCAAAGCAAACAAAAGGCTTGCCCAGTGATTCTTCAGCATACGGAACCTTCTCCATTTCTAGAGCTTTCAGAAATAAAATGCCTATTTATGTGAAATCCTCACCTAAGTCTTTGCTTCAGCCATGCTGCCTTACTTCTGAAGCACCAGTGGCTAGAGAAAATTGAGATTATTCATTGATCACATTCTGTGTTTTGAAGTGTAGTGGGATTGCTTGTGGGAAACTGTCAGAGTCACTTAAGGCTAGTTACTGCCTGGTTTTATCTTCCTGTTCTGTAAAACATGATTGCATTCCTACCATGAACTCTCAAGAGTTTGCCGTAGGCTATGATCTGTGATGGAGATGATTCCTTGTATGCAGAGAGCCTGGATTCTACTCCAGTGTCATTCCTTAATGAGTAGCTAATTCTGTGATGTTGAGTTAACTGTCCACCTCTGAACCTGTTTTTCTATTTTCAAAGTGATCTTTATTACATAAAATTCTGTGATTTAGTGATACATTTTATACTGTTAGTACTAAATATTTGCTTTATGTACTGTCTAATAGAATTGAGGCATCTTGTCTAATTTTCAGTGGTTTTAAGCAGTTGCTTTGAACAATATCTAATCAAAGGTATAATCTAAATTTAGGTTATAATATGTAGTTTACTTACGTGAAGTTTAGATTCTGTTCTTTAAAGAAATTGACTTTAAGTTGTTATCTCACTGAGGGTAGAGCCTCCTGAGGCCCCGCCTATAGCAGAGTAACTATTGGCAGTTAGCAATGCCTAGGGTAGGGAGGCTGTTTTCCTTTGCAGTGTGGCCCACTGGACGTGGGCTGTGCTCCGGGGATTGGTGCCCTACATTCCTGCACATATGGGCAGCACTAATTGCTATGAGGAGGGAAGGAGGAATGAACATGAGGTTATAGGGCAATGTGAAATGGAGCGTCCTGGAGGAGCTGAAGTGGGGAACAGGGCTACGTGTGATCTAAATATATTGTATTCATACCAAAGAACAAGTCTAAAAAAAACGGTATCTCATGGATATTTTGTTTATGTTTTTGAGACAAGGTTTCTATGTGTTCCCCTGGCTGTCCTGAAACTCACTCTGTAGACTAGGCTGGTCTCAGACTCAGAGATCTACCTGCCTCTGGCTCCCAAGTGCTAGGACTAAAAGCGTATGCCACCACTGCCTGGCTATCTCATCGATATTTTAATTAAAATTACTTATCCAGCTGTAACTCTGAGTTCCTTAAGGGAAACATTTATTCATTGGTTTATTTATTTGAGACAGTCTCGCTGTGGCAATATGGTCCAGGCTGTTCTTGAACTTCTGGGTTCAAGCAACCTTCCTGCCTCTACCTCCTAAAGACTGGAACTACAGGTGTATACCACTGCACGAGCTAAGGGGACTCTTGGCTTTGATCTGTGTTCTTCGTATCTAACTAACACTGCTTACAAGAGTGCTGAAAATGCTAAAGTCAAACAGAAACAAAGCAGGAGGCCCTTTTAGAAACTAAAGTGCCTAGGTTAATGAGACTGGGCCATTTTGAATTAGAGAACTTGTGAAACCTGGTTTTATGGATAAAATAGGAGTTTTTGTGTCCAGATAGAGTTTGCTCCTCAGTTCTTGATGCCGTCTGCTCTTTCGGTTAACAAGTTAACAATCTCTGTCTGCCCTTTGTGTGTTTTAGCAACATGGCCAATGCCTTGGCCAGTGCCACATGTGAACGCTGCAAGGGGGGCTTTGCACCTGCAGAGAAGATCGTGAACAGCAATGGTGAGCTGTACCATGAGCAGTGCTTCGTATGTGCTCAGTGCTTCCAGCAGTTCCCAGAAGGACTCTTTTATGAGGTGGGTCAACTCAGCTGTCCTTCACTTTCAAAATTCCTTTTTTTTTTTTTTTTTTTTTTTTTTTTTTTTTTTTTTTTTTTTTTTGGTTTTTCGAGACAGGGTTTCTCTGTATAGCCCGGGCTGTCCTGGAACTCACTCTGTAGACCAGGCTGGCCTCGAACTCAGAAATCCGCCTGCCTCTGCCTCCCGAGTGCTGGGATTAAAGGCGTGCGCCACCACCGCCCGGCTCACTTTCAAATTCCTTACCAGAGATGGAGTTAAGTGCCAGGTATTTAGTACCTGTGAGGTTATTGGTAGAATGCATGTGGAACATGTAGGTCCCAACCTAAATAAGATACCCATGTATAACTACCTACATTCATGCCCATCAGTTCGTCTCAGTTCAGAATCTACAGTATCTTGTAACTGCCTATCAGACCTGAGTACTTCTGCTCCAAGTACAGAATCCTTTCACAAGGCCCGCGGCAGAAGTATCTCTGGCCTCCCCCAATGCTTGCTCCTACATGGAATCTGCCCAACCTCATCCCTAGGTCTTACTGTATCAGGATATCATTGCACAGCTTCCTAAAGGGGAACCCATGTCACCTACTTCCTGATTTCTAAGGCACATTCTGGAGAGTTCCTTCCATGCATGTATTTACTACAGAGAATCTTGTTAGGACTTGAGCACTGCAGGAACCACTCTGTTTAGCCCTTCTGTATAGCTTGAGTTATTTTCTAAACACTTGTTTTTCTTGATGTCATCATGTAATCTGAACTTCCATCATACTGAAACTTTCTTATCACAAGGAAGATGGATTGTGGGTTGGCCTAGGGAAGCTTATTCCCCACATCATGAGTGAGAATGAGAGTGCTCACTTTGGCAGTTCATTTTTGCTAACACACCACTTAACATGTTTGCAAATGTGTGCATCTTTATATATGTGTATAGAATTCTGATACTGCTAAAAATGTCTGTTCTTTGATTTCTTTTTAATTATTATTATATGTGTATAGGTGTTTTCCTCCATATATGTCTGTGCATCATGTGTATGCCTGGTACCCCTAGAGGCCAGAAGACATTATGAGATCCATTAGAACTGGATTTAAAGAGGGTTGTGAGCTACCATGTGGATACTGGGTATTTAACCAAGGTCCTCTGGAAGAGCAATCAGTGTTCTTAACGGCTGAGTCATCTCTCCCCTTTGAGTTTTTTTTTTTTCTTTTCTCCTACCAGACTTAGATTTTTCTGTCTCTGTGCCTGAGAAAAGAAAGGTAGTTTGTAGCAGTCATTACTAAACTGATTATTACCACTGAGGCATTTCCCTACTGTGAGCAGATTGAAATTCCCAGGCCAGCGTGGAAAACATCATTTGTTTCCCTCATATATGCTTTTAAAAAAAACCAAACTTCCATTTGTGAGTTGTCTGTATTAGTGTAGTACAAGGAAATAGCATTGAGCACTGAGTCACAGAATGAAATTTTATTCACTAGTACACATATTATTCAGGAGTTTCTACTACGCCTCAAGAAAAATCAAACAAAAACCCTTAGCAGTAGGAAAATACTCCTTTTTTTTTTTTTCTACCTTGGAGAATCTTTTTTTCAGAAGTTGAACTGTAAGAGAAGAGAAGAGACGATAGAGAGAATGTCCCAGGGTATATAGATGGTGGTGGTGGTGGTGAGCCAGGGGCTCTGTGTTCGGGGGCTGTGACCGCATGGGAGGGAGGGCTGCTCTTGGACTGCTGTCACTCAGTATGACAAACTCTTCTTAGAATTTGACAAAAGGCTCTGAAATCTCTTAACTCAGCCAGATAAGACTGCTTTGATTTTAAGATCTTTATGAAGAATTTTGGAAGATACAAGATAAATATAAAACTTTTTATTCATTCATGGAAGTCAATACACAGATTAGAAAAGTACAGGCAGGGTAGAGAGAAAGAGATCCATGGCTCAAAGCTTTATTGCTTATCAACATCCAAACAGGACTCCTGTGGAGCTTTCATTAGCAGGCTTAAAGCAAATAGGCACAAATTTCAGATGGCCATGCTGTGACATCTGTATCTATACAATCCATGCTGGGTACGGGAGTAAGCCTGGCTACTCAAGCTGTATCTAGCTGACCAGGGGACGGTAGTGTATGACAGACATCTGGATTGATCGTACTGTAGAACCGGGAAGCATAGAACTGGAGACAGGGTGACTGATACTTTCTCTGGTATGAGAAAATATAGCTTCTATTCACAGTGGCTGCCAAAGAACATGTACTCATAGATACTCATGACAGACTCAAAGCACACAGAAAGGTTCCAGAAGTATGGGGGATGGCTTAGTCAGTAAAATGCTTGCCATGCAAGCATGAGGACCTGAGTTCAGATCTCCAGGACTTATGTAAAAAAACCTGGAGTAGTGGCACATCCCCATGATACCATAGTTCAGGAGGTAGAGACAGGAAGACCTACCTGCCTAGACTCTGGCTGAAATCAGTGCAGTCAGTGTTGACTGAGCTCCTATCTCCAAAACTAAGGCTGACAACAACTGAAGAAGACACTAGACAACAATCTCTGGCCTCCACACGATCACACACACATGTATATGTGTAATTGCACACATACATGCACACATGAACATGTCTGTATAAACACACACAAAAAAAAGGTCGGGGGGGGGGAGCAGTGTTAAGTCCCTTGTTATCCCTGCCGTTCTTTTCTTTGTGGTCCTGAGAGGTGAAAACATCCTTGACAGCACAGCAGGCAGCAGTTTGTGATGTGACAGGTATTTGAGCCCATATTGACCCTAGTATCCATACAGGTCTCTTCTTAAGATTAAGGAAACGATACTGGAAAAGAATTAAAGAAAGATCTCAGAAACTCAGAGGGAAAAGTCCATTCTGTATTGTCTTCTTCCTGATCTGCCCTCTGGCGTTCTCCAGTCCCTCTTCATGTCTTTTCTCTGGCATGGTCCTTTTGCCTGCCATTTTGGCATTGAATGGCACTATCTTTCTTAGCCAGCAGTGGTCTGTGCACCTGCCTCTACGTGTGGTCCTGCCAGTTGCAGTTTGATCAGAGGGAAAAGCTTGGGAACAGCCGTGAGCAGAGCAGAATAAAACATGACTCACACTTGTCCTCCTACTCACTCCTTACTTCTCTTCACTGCTGGGCTATAAATATCCTCCTAGTGTTATTCCAAAAGATGTTACAAATCCCAGCCTTGGGCTATTAATGGGCTGTTGCCTTCTGGGTCCTAAGGAAGGCAGCTATTTTAGCTACAATGTTTACTGTTTAAGGTCCATTTTCCAGCTAGAGATTTATAAAGCCACAGATGGAAAATAAGAACTTTACTTTTGGTTAAATGAGAAAAAGCTATCCCTGTCAAAGAATAAGATGCATGTTCAGCTATGCCCAACAGTAGAAGATTTTCCAGAACTAGAAGTCCATTTGATTGGGGGTGTGGGGACTGGGGTCTTTGTTTTTTGAGATTATATATAGTCCAGCCTGGATGAGGGTAACTTTAAACTTCTGATCCTCTACGTTCCTAGTGCTGAGATTACAGGCAGGCCTTCTACCAGAAATTTGGTCTGTATGTATCAATGTTAGTATAATGAACCATGCAGGGCATGTGAGTTGGTGATGCAGTGTATTCTTGTTTAGCTTTCAAGGAGCCCTAGGTTCAGTGCCCAGCACTTTGGAAAGTAGACTGGAGACGGTATTTTCTCCAGTCCATACCTTTGCTAATGCTTTTAACTTTTGTCAAAGCATCCACCTCCCCGTATTTCTACATATCTTACTCTTTCCCTTGGAACCAGTTATGAAGACTTAAAGATAACCAAACATGATGGCACAGACCTGTGGTTCCATCATTTGGGTGGCTGAGGGTGGAGGTTTGCAAGTTCAGTGCCAGCCTGGTATGCTTGCTTAATAAGAGCCTGTCTCAAATTTAAGGGGACGGGGGAAGACAAGTTTTGTTTACTTACTTCAAAACATGGTTCACTTTTCTTTGTGGAACTTGTTGATACATTAGATTAGTTGACTAGGATATTCATCCCTCTAGGCAGAGAAAAGTCTGGAACCAGATTCTACACACTCACTAGAACATATGGCTAGAGATATGAACACAAGCATTTCTGATGCATCTGTACTTCTCTTAAGCATGGTATAGCTGGTTATGATTACATAGGCTTATAATCCCAGCACCTGGGAGAGGCAAGGAGGGCAGGAATTCCCAGCACCCACTGGTAGCTCCAGTGCCATGGAATCACATGCCCTCTTTTGACCATGTTGAGCACCAGGAACATGTGGTGAACAGACACACATGTAGGTGAACACCCATAACAGAATAATGAATAAATAAACAGTTTTAAAAGTAAAACTTTGTCTTAAAAGAAAAGCAGAACAAAAAAATACATAGCTGCTCCTAGGAATCCTGCCCAGATGTGACCCCTCCTCGCACAGTGACCCTGACTCCTACTAGATGATGTAGTTTAAAACAGGAACCTAAACATTTTCAATTTAGGCAGAAATCTGTCTCCCTCCGAAAAATAAGGTGATTTACAGACTTGTTCATCAGAAAGAACTGATTTACTTGCATTGTTTGCCCAGGAGATCACTTCTAATGTTAGCAGCTGTTTCATTCCGTGTCTTTTCTGAGTCCACAGAACACTTCATTCATTTCTAACATGGAGCACTTTGACACTTCATTATGACTGTTTGTTACAGTACTCATCTTCCCATTGACCTTTGAATACTTCTGCCACAAAGACTGTCCACATTGATCTAGTATCTCTAATACATAACTATAATCTCACCATTTGGGAAACGGAGAGAAAGGATCAAGAACTCAAAGCCACTTTTGACTACATAGCAAGTTTGAGACTAGCCTGAGCTACATGAGACTTTCTCAAAAGAAAAAAGACGCCACCAAAAATGGTGTACTGTTTTATTCTTTGCTTACTTGCTTAAAATAGCAGGCAGGCCTGGAGGTATGCTTAGTAGTGGAGTGCATACTTATCATGTAGGAGGCCC